ACAATTCCAGGCTGGGTGGAGAATGGATTGAGAGCAGCCCTGAGGAAAAGGGCTTGTGTGCTCGCAGCCCAGAAAGCCAACTGGGCTGCATCCAAAGCAGCGTGGGCAGCAGATTGAGGGAGGGGCTTCTGCCCTTCTACTCTGCTCTTGTGAGACCCCCCTGCAGTGCTGCATTCAGCTGTGGGGTCCCCACCTCAAGAAGGATGTGGAGTTGCTGGAGCGGGTCCAGAGGAGGCCACGAAGATGATCTGAGGGCTGGAGCACCTCTGCTATGGAGACAGTCTGGGAGAGTTGGGGCTGTTCAGCCTGGAGAAGAGAAGGCTCCAGGGAGACCTTCCAGTACCTAAAGGTGGCCTACAGGAAACCTGGAGAGGGACTTTTTACAAGGACGTGTAGTGACAGGACAAGGGGGAATGGATTTAAACTGAAAGAGGGGAGATTTAGATTGGATATAAGGAAGGAATTTTTCACTCAGAGGGTGGTGAGGAGGCACTGGACCAGGTTGCCCAGAGAAGCTGTGGCTGCCCCATCCCTGGAATTGTTCAGGACCAGGCTGGATGTGGCTTTGAGCAACCTGGTGTAGTGGAGGGTGTCCCTGCCCATGGCAGGGGGGTTGGAACTGGATGATCTTTGAGGTTCCTTCCAACCCAAACCATTCTGTGATTCTGTGACAACGGCAGTGTCTGTTTCTCGGTGCCCCTGACGTTTCCTCAAGTACGTTGGGTATCTGTAAGCCAGTCAGATGTTTGTTCGCCTGTGGTGCTAAGCTCAAAGGTACCACTCCGAATATTTTGTTGATGATAAAAGTGATGCATAAGGTAAAGGCTTACAAGCCTCGATAAATGGTGCAGCGAGTATCGACCTTTGTCAACGCAGGAAGTAAATTACCTTACTGAGCATTAAGCAAGGGCTTGTGGGTGTTTGAAAAAAAACCCAAAAGGTGTGGTAACAGTTCAGGAGGTCAATTAACTTGGCAGAATGTTGAATTGTTTTGCTGGAGCTCATCAAGTCTGCTGCGAATTTAGCAGAGAGCTGCTGGGTTTGAACGTTTTAACGTGAAGGTGAATTTCCTGTAGGATGCTGAACTGCATATGGAGTGTCAAAGCACAGGCTGCCGTTCCTTACAGTGCAGCAGCAAGTGGCCTAAAACCTCCTAAAACCCCTTTTTAGTCTCTTCAGAAATTCAAGCAAATCTTTCAGATACATTGTGCAAGTGCACAGCTCGAATTGATAAAGGCAGAGGAAAAAAAATGGCTCAAATGAACATACCTATTGGCAAAACCTTTGGAACTTCAGAAAGAACTTAGGAGTTTTACATGATTCAGGCTGTATGTCTTTTAATTCAGAAAAGAATATTTTAGCATTATTTCTCATGTTGCTAAGGCTGTATTAAACCCTTTCTGAGGAGGAAACACTGAAATCTTGGGGTTTGGTTTCTACAATATGAAAAGGCTTAAATGGCTATACTGCAAGTTTGCTTAATCTCCTCCCAGCTGTGCGTTCCCTTTTCCAGACAGTTGGCTCAGGAGCATGTTGGAGCAATGCTGATATAAGTGGTTTGGATATGAAAAAAAGTATATTTAAATGGATGATGTGTAAGGTAGTAGTCACAAAATAGCAAAAAAGAAAGGTGATGTCACTTATGGCAGAGCAGGTGATTTAATATTTTAGTGTGTTGGGTTCTTTTTTGACAAGTGTAACTTTAATTACAGTTCTTCTTCAGACATATGACTGAGCGGAATACGGATGAATATGCAGCGTAGACCTCTTTCAGAAACAGTTATTTTTCTCTTAAACAGGACACCCTGATTGTTTGGTCAGAAGCGGAAAACTATGATTTAGCACTGAGTTTTCAAGAAAAAGCTGGCTGCGATGAAATTTGGGAAAAAATCTGCCAGGTACAGTTAACTTTTAATATTCTGTTTCTTCCACATGTCTTAGTGTCTTTTGTGACTTCATGTCTTTGTGCTGTAATTTTTAAACCTACTTGTGAAATAAGCAAATATTTAACATTATTTTCTATGGCTTTTCTGCATAAGATCTTAAGTCGCTGATGTTCAGAACACCAGTTGTTGTTTCATAAGTGAATTTCACACTTTTGAAGAATCAATGTAACCATGAAACTCAGGTGCTGCTGGGCAGTTTAGGGAGGGGGTTGTTTGTTTTTATTAAAAAGAGGAATGCCAGAGTACCAGGTTTGAGTTGTCCTTCTCCCAGGTGGCCTTAGGAGGAACTGGAAATAGCTGTGTTACAATGCCAAAGGAGTGAGATATTTTGCTGTGAAAGACGAGGAGGTGACACTGCTGTGTGAGCTCAGAAATCTCAGTGGGATTTTTTTCATCAACACCTAAGTCTTACTGACTGTTTGTATCTTTTGGATATTTACAAAACAGTTTAGATCTTACACTTTCAGCTCTGGAAGTAACAAGTCAGTGGACTTGCACTATGTGTACTTAAAAGAAGAAACTTGGGCTTTCATGTTGGAATTTATCATAACCTTCTCGGATTTGGAAATGATGCGATGTAAAGCTGTTTAGGACTAAAGAAACATTGAACTTGGATTTCCTAGCAGTTTCCTTTGAACAAACTAGGCAATTTAGGTGCATTCTTAATCTTGGCATGTGTTGGGGTATTAAAGTCTTCTCTCAGCCAGTTCTGGAGTACCATTGCTAAAAGGAACGGATCGTAGTTACCACACGTATACGCATCTAATAGATGCGGTTTTAAATTGGGGCTGAGCTGATGACCAGTAGTGTATGCATCTAATAGATAGGCCAGGTTTTAAATTGGGGCTGAGCTGATGACCAGTCTGAGAGGGAGGTGGTCTTGTGATCGGATAACATAAACCGTCAGGCTCCAAAACTCTTCCTGCTCTGTCCTTTGAGACTCTGGCATGAGTGTGATCCTTTGTGACGGAGTTCACAACAAGAGTTGTGAATTCTGGGTCAGTGGGGGCAATGAAAAGTATAGGATGGTTGGATTTTTTGACAGATGTGCTATTGAGGATAATGGTAGCGACAGCAGAGTTAGAGGCAGCAGACTCTACTCCTCTGCACGGGCAGGTGTTTTCCAGGCTGTTGAAGGTGTAAAAGTGCTTACGCACGTGTTATTTCAGTTATTGACCTGATTATTTTTATGAATGTTTTGGGATGAGACAGTAACTGTGCGCGCTCTCTTCTTAGGTTCAAGGTAAGGATCCTTCAGTGGAAGTCACGCAGGACCTTATTGAGTCAGAAGAGGAACACATAGAAGAAATGCCTGAAACTAGTCCTTTGATCGACCTTCCTACTTGTGAACTCAACAAACTTGAAGAGATTGCTGACCTAGTTACCTCTGTTCTCTCCTCACCCATCCGTAGAGAAAAGCTAGCGCTGGCCTTGGAGAATGAAGGCTATATTAAAAAACTACTACAGCTTTTCCAAGTCTGCGAGAATTTAGAGAACACTGAAGGCTTGCATCATTTGTATGAAATTATTAGAGGGATTTTGTTCCTCAACAAAGCGACTCTGTTTGAGGTGATGTTTTCTGATGAGTGTATTATGGATGTTGTTGGATGCCTTGAGTACGATCCTTCTTTGGCTCAGCCAAAACGGCACAGGGAGTTCTTGACCAAAACAGCAAAGTTTAAGGAGGTTATTCCTATAACAGACTCCGAACTCAGGCAAAAAATCCACCAGACTTACAGGGTACAGTATATTCAGGACATCATCTTGCCGACACCATCTGTTTTTGAAGAGAATTTTCTTTCTACCCTCACTTCCTTTATTTTCTTCAACAAAGTTGAGATTGTCAGTATGTTGCAGGTAAGTGGTTTTTGATATGGTACTGATGGATTATGGATAGATGCCTCTAGCTGTAGTTTTGAAATTGTTTACGGGTCTTTACCACTGTGCAAGTTAATCGTACTGCTTTCATTTGCATAATGTTCTGAATGCTTCCCCTTATTTCTGATGCCTTTTACTTTTTTTATTTTTAAAAATGGTAGATTTCAGGAGTGTGTATTTCTTTTTAATGGACTGTAAAGAGTTAAAGGTTCTCCTTGATTCAGAAGCAACATACGCGTTTTGAGCTGGTTTTATACAGATGTTTAGGGAACAAGCAACTTTTTGTGTTATATGTCAGGGCCATTTGTGACATCTTTATAACAAATTCTAAATCTGTGGTTCGAAAGAGCGTGTTCAGAATAGAATAATTCCTGTTATACTATTACTTTGGTATTAATTTCAAATGTTCATGTTGTAGTATTAAGTAATTCTCTCTTTTTCCTCATACTGATATCCAAAAGTAATAATTAATACATAACCAACATGTTACTATGTGGAAAAACTTAGTGAATTATTTGTAGTCAGAAGCAGGCTTAAAGGTGGTTGGGTGTGAGAACGCAGTGGGGCTGCAGGAGGAGCCTTCTGAAGAGCCGTGTGTGAACTTGGGGACATTTGGGATGTGTTCTGCTCACGTTTCGTTGTGCAAACTAACGGGTGCCAGAGTGGGTGTATTCTGTTTCTGATCCGTGTCCTTAGAAAACTGGCACGTCTGTGTAGGATAGAATGTCAAAAACCTCTTAGGTTTTGTTTTGAGTGTGGATAGTCTCTGGGAAATAGGAAGATGTGTCAAAAAGAAGAGAGCAGTAAAATTGTGGAAAGAGAGAGGCACTGGAGAAGGAAAATTGCTATAAGGAATGTTTCTAAAGAATGCAGTAGAGAACTGGGAAAAAAATCAAAACTATAGCATTGCACGTATAAGCTTTTGGGCTTCTTTCTACTTTGGTTGAATGGCAGAAGGAAACTAAAAAGTAAATCCCACTTGCAAAATTAATGACTTTTTATTAATACATATTTTCCTATTTTATTTTTTTGCATGTATTACTTTTCTAAAACTAAAAATAAATGCAGTATCATTCTCCTGAGGTCACAGTCCTGCTTCCATTTAGAGATTTTTAACTCTGTAAACTTCCTTTTTTTTTTTCCAGATAAATTTTACTGTACTGGATGCTTAATTGTGCCTTAACATAAAACTGCCGCGCGTGTTGATTTACAAATCATGTCTATGCCATACATCACTTGAGCTGCCTTGAGCTTTCCAAACGAAGAAGGAAGCACACGTGGAAGAGGTGTTATTGATAGCACGCTTGGGGAATTTATCTGGTAGTGTGGACCTCAGGTTCAGGACTGTTTTCACAGTTAGTTCCCTGTTGGAAATCAGCTTTTTGTTGGGGCACAAGAGCTCTAAAGCTCCTTGGAGTTTGGTGAACACATTAGAAGTGTTGTTACCCTAAATACTCTGGCAAAGCTCCCTAGGAGAAGGTGGTTTATAGGAGTAAGAGATTGAGTTTGCTCCGGCAGTAAAGCTCCTTTCTACGTGCCGCGGAGCAGTCGATCCCAGCGCTGCTGTAGGTGAAGGGCAGCCGCGTGGGAAACGGAGCGAGCACGGAAAACAAACCTGGATCCCTCCTGTGCTCTGGGACATCAGGGCTAGACTGTGGGGCAGCTCTCTGCAAGCAAGAGATCTCTCCGTTGCCAAGTGTTCTGTAGTGGGGTTTTCTCTTGGTGATTGTGGTATGGTGGGTGTTTTTTTTTCTAACAGGCTCAATTAAGCTGTTAAAGCCAGCAAAGCTTAGAATAAACTGCTAAGTCTGTGTATGTTGCAGGCACTCTGATGTTGATTCCAGGTGTCCTTTGTTTGTAAAGCACTTCTTTCCCCTGTCTGAACATTTTTCAGGAAAACAAATTCTGTGAGCCTTTGGCTGGC